CACACACACACACACACATCTTGTTGCTGAACGTTTCCCTTCTCTTTGTTTCTGGTGTTTTTATTCTGACGTTCAGCGATCGTACTGCACACTTCCTGTTTGTACATTTGTCTTCCTGAGTGATAAATTTGTCTTCATAGTTTATTTATAGTTATTTATTTTCTTTTTACCAAAACTGTGTTCATCAGAGTACCCGACGTGACAGGAACACGTCTCAGCAGCACGGTGTCCACACACCGCGACGGAGCGCGCTCAGATGTAGAGATGAAAGTTTAGAAGCTTGTTCTCAGCAGGTCAATGCAGCTCAGGTTCACGTGTCTGTCTGCAGGTCAGCACCAGGGGGAGGAGCCAGGAGGACACGCGCTGATGCTGGTGTGCGAACACCTGGGTCTGCAACACCTGCACACTGAGGTGAGGTGTGTACCGTCGCCCTTTGTGATGACATCAGTATCTGTATTGATCTCTCTGCTCATAAACAGGAAGTGGACGTGCTGCTCAGGAAGTTGGATCCCGACCTGGACGGCAGGGTCAGCATCAGGGAATTCAAGAAGGTGCTCTGTGGCTCCACCCCCATCACCTGTTCCACCCCAGTACGACAAGCTGACCTGAGAGCGCCACACAAGGTGAGGCGCACACGCTCAGAGAAGAGTCTGCAGCCGAAGTCAGAGCTGCTGAAATACTCCACGAAAGAAAATGAGGTCACTGCTTCACCTGTGTCAATAACTCCGCCCCTCAGATCTGAGTGACCCTGACCTTGAACGTGTCACTGCTGAGATGAAGACTGTGAGCTTCGTTAAATTACTTAACATTTCATTTCAGTGTCGAATAAAAAAGAAAGAAGCTGAATATTAGAAATAATGTCAGTCAGATCGATGAGCTGTGTTTAGAGTGAGAATGTCCCAGCAGCTCCTGAACGCAGCACCGCCCTCCTCGCCTCCTCCTTTCAGCCAATCAGGAAGCTCTGCGCAGCTGGAGCTCATCAGTCCAATCAGCTGTGGTGGCTGCAGGTGAGCAGGTAGTAGCGCACACAGACAGGTGAAGGCCATCGTGATCGCAGGCTGCGAGGACGGAGAGCATGAGCGCCGCCGCCGCCACGTACTGCTGCAGTCAGGTGACTCAGACTGAACCCAGAAACTCTGAGCAGTTAGACGTGCTCTTATTTTGAAATGTAGGCAGAACGAGTGAGACTCGCCTTCCCAAAGATCTCATACAAATGAACAAATGAATGCCTGACCCTGACCTGACCCTGACCTGACCCTGACCCTGACACGTCACACTGAAACTAAAACCACATTTTGAGTCTCAAAAATGTCTTCAAACTGGGAAACCTGGATTTTGATCCTCATGAGGGCTGTTTGTCCCCACAAGTATAGTAAACTACCAATGTTTGGTCCCCATGAAGATGTTAATACCCGTCCACACACACACAGATATGTGTGTGTGTGAGGACGTTGGCGTGTTTCAGGCTCGCCTTGCAGCTAATCCAGATTAATGGTTGGGGCTGCAGCAGGCGCTCCTCTGGAGTCTGGTCCTGCGTTGGGCTTAAGCTGCTCTGTCTGCATGCCGACCTTTGAACCTGGACTCTGTTCTGCTCCTCCATGCAGCCTCGGGAGGTGTCAGAGGAGCACTCGGCCCGCTCCGCCTCGCCCTCCCTGCTGATGGCCACCGTGGGTCAGAAGGTGCTCAGCCGGCTGGACGACGGCTCAGGATGTACGAGCCC